ATCGATTCGGCCGAGTTTTAATAATCCGTTTCCATTCCCCGGTTAGAAACGGGAGGGGGCAGAAGAAGAAGAAAAAGAAGAAGAGGAGGAGGAGGAGGAGGAGGAGGAGCGCGGGAATTTCGCGGATTCGGCCTCGCCTTATCCCTCTTTACCTCTCGAGACGACTCCTCTTTTTACACGAGCAAGGGAGTTCCTCTCTCTCTCCACGGCCAGTTGAGAAACACTGTTGACAGTGGTGGCTTCGCGTACCCGGAGCAACGTCAAATGACTCACCGGCTTCTATATATAGAACGACTCTCCCGCTACTCGGTGTTTCTAGTCAAGTGCAGCCTTCGTTTGATTTACGCCGTTCATGGTTACCACGAAATCCTCCTGTTCGCGGCGGCACTCCGAACACCCCTCCCTCCCTCTCTTCTTCTCCAATCCCCTAATTGATCCCCGAACTCGGATCGAGTTTTGAGTCGAGAAGCACGAGAGGCTAACTGTCTCCTCTCGAAATCGACGCGAAAGAAGAAGCAAGGATCGTTGGAAGGGAAGAGAGAGAGAGAGAGACAGAGAGGAGTGGCGTGCATTATGCATAATATAATGGAGGTGAACGTTCCACAAAAGACGCGGAGCGTCGCTGTGCCCGTCATGTACTCCACAGCCTCCAGAGACCTCTCCGGTCCAAAGGTTAAACATTTACGATCCTACGGTTTAACGACCCCTTCTTCCGAGAAGCTTCGTCCTCCTCAGCAGGCGAGGAAGAATTCTTTTGTGTTTGGGAAGAGACGCGCAATCCTCGTTTCCCGATTCCTCGATTCGCCGCCCTGCGGAACGTTCCTTGGTTATCGCTCGCGAGACTATCATCTACTCCTCGCTCGTGAAATGGCGGCTGAGGGGTTGCTCGCCAGCTCTCTCCAATTTGTTTGATAAATAGGAGGAGGGCACGAGCGCTTCTTCGACCGAACACGACGACTTAAAATTAGACGTTTTACGAGCGAGCTTCGGATGCTGCTCCTCTCCGATCCGTTAAGAAGAATCGAGAGAGAGAAAGAGAGAGATGATTCGAAGAAATTAAACGTTGGTCGACGATTTCAGGCGTATTCGGCCATGTCGCCGAACGGAGAACCGGCGGCTCCGATTCTGGGCTCGGCGGTGACCAGCGCGGCCTCACTGCCACCAATGTCCACATTNATAGCAGCAACCCATCCACGCCAGTCAGTTCGCCACCACCGTTGACGGGTTCAGCGCCGGGCTGGGCACCAGGTGCTGCACCAGTTTCACCGCATTTCACCACGGATCCCAACCGTGGAACCATTCACATGGTATGCATCAAAGCTTGCCCGTTTATAACGCCGTTTATTAATTTTTAATCTCTCCACCTTTTTCGACACGATACGACGATACTTATCTACTTTGTTATTATTATTTATTTATTTATTTATTTATTTATTTATTTATTGAACCCGACACCGTCCAACGATCGAGAGATACATATGTCGAGAGACGATCAATTTTTCTTTTTTTCCTACAAACGCGTTTACTCGAGCGAACTAGATTCGCTCTAACTAATCGATCAGAGAAGAAGATCGTGGTTGGATCTGGTCGTTGGAAAGTGACGGATGCATCTCTGAACGCAAGACAGACAACACGCTTCATCACCGTTTCGGTGCGCTTTAGAAACAGGTCAAGGACGTTCGTAACAGAAACCTCTCGTGCTCGTTCACTTCTCTTACGATATATTTTATCGTCTGCACTATGGTGACTCGTTGAGAGATTACCGTTGTTACACGCACTGACACTTTTTTTATTTCTGTTCACGGGGGAGGATCGGAAAATGGTTTATTATTATCGTCAACGTGAGACAACAACGTGAATCCGAAATACGTCTTTTTTTATTTTTTATTTTTTTTTTTTTTAATCGTCGTTTCAATCTCTGCCCACCGATTGCACTTGGAATTCGCACAGAAGTAGCATGCACTCGACTCACCGACGACACGATTCGTCTCTCTCGTCTCCAGCTCACCAGCAAACTTTATTTTTTCTTTTTTTTCTTTTTTTTTTTTTTATGCTCATCCTCCCCCTGTTTCAGTTACTCGGTGACGATATCTCGTCTCATCGTCGTTTTACGTTTTATTTATTTATTTTTCTTCTCTCTTTTTTTCTTTCTTTCAATATTTTTTTTCTTTTCTTTTCTTTTCTTTTTCTTTTTCTTTTCTTTTTTTCTTTTTCTTTACCCCTTGTTTGTTGTGAACGTTGTGTTGACTTGGTTGTTCTCTTTTTTTTTTTTTTTGGTTTTGTTGTTGCGTTGGTGTTGTGTGTGAAGCCGGCGCCTGAACAGCAGAGGCTAGACGATGCCATCGGCTTCCTTCGCGACCATGCCGAGGTGAGGATTGCCGATTTTTAGTTTTTTTTTTTTCTTNTCTCTTCCCTCCCCCCTCCGCCTCTTTTGTTTGCTCTTCTTTCCGATCCTCCCACCCATATCACTCGTAACACCATTTTGTGTGCATGAAAATTCACACATATCGGATATCGTCGTTCTGCTCATTTTCTGGATATTCTCAGCGATGTCTCGCTGAGAATGATATTCGCAGAAATTTCTTTTTTAATTTTTTATTTTTTTATTTTTTTTTACTTATCAACGATATCAACGACCCAAAAGTTAATTCTCGCACCGTTGTTACGCACCATTGTTTCTTTCGCTCGTTCGAAACAAAAAAGAAAGAACCGCGGTGAGAGAATTAATCTCGCGTCGACTCGAGAGAATTTCTGTCACTTTCGTCAATTTTCATCACATTCCAAACGAAAAAAAAAAAAAAAAAAAAAAAAAAAAAAAAAAAAAAAA